CCCCCCTCAACCCCTCCCTTCTACACGTATATGCCTTCAGAACATCAGTTAAACCGTTGTCAAACGATATTTTTTACATCATTTACACGTTACATATGTACATATGTATTCTGGGAAAGACGTCTATTGGTTGAGATATCGGGTGTTAGCGAAGTTTTCATTGAGAAACTGTTGCGAGCAGGGGGGATGTTGGATATTATTAAATTATTTTTTTGTTTGCCCTCCGACATTTGCAGATAAATGCAGACATACATAAAGCGTCGATCGTAAAGGCCGTCATGCCAAGCCAAATTAACTCGATGCCCAATAGCAAGGAATGTTTGCCTCTAAGTCAAACAAAACTTTGGTTGAAACACTACATACAGCTGAACTCTAGGCACGAACCTTAGATGGAGAAAAACGAACAAAACCCCACCCTCATCCTCCACCCGAAATCATGTTAGATATACTCGCAGCAGTATCTGGTTGTGAGGATCCCAGGGGGATACGTGTTGGGAATTTCGTGTGTTGAAGGGTACCACCGGCATAGTCACGGGGACCCTTTGGGCGTGGTCGGTGCGATGATGAGGCTTGCGTGCGTGCTGCGCACTTCTTCTTCTTCTTCTTCCCTCTCTCTCCACCACCACCACCGTCTCTCTCCAATCAAGCTTCCTTCTCCCACTCTCTCTGCAACTCTCTCTCGACCTCTCTCTCTCGGCCTAACACGGCCAACTACCCAGTGCCCCAAAGCAACGTCCAGAACGTGCTTGCTGCACCCCGCGTAGTTTACCTTGCACATCTCTATAGAAATAATAAGTCTAAGGAATCCTAATGAATCCATAGCGTGAACGAAAGGCTACCTGTATGTCTACGGTTTCCCAGACAGCATACAACGATATCTCCCCTGTGGGTAACAGGCTCAACAAGACAGTTTGGTAGCCATCTTGTGTATCTATCTGTATGTTATGTTGGGAAGTTGTAGACGGTTTGTCGGGTGTTCTATAATGGCACCCTTATGTGGTTGCGGAGCAAGCGCGTCTCGGGGTATGTATATTTTCTTTTTCCGAGTGCTTTGTACCCTTTTTGTTTCCTCGCGGCGTCGTAATGTGCCGGGTTTTGAGACCACGGGCTCCCCATTTTTTTGTGGACTATAGACTAGTCTAGTCTAGACTTAGAGCTAATTAATGTGAGAAACAACAACGACAACAACAACAACAACAACAACAACAACAAGTCATGGTGATGACCCTTCCTTCACACAGCCACATCTATTCTGTGCTCTTCTGCTCAGAGTACCTGCGACTTGTACCAACATTGCCGCACCCGGTGTTGTTGCTGTGCTTGCTTTGGCTGCTGTAGTGCTGTGTACATCAACCGCCGTTCTTCTTACCTCTGCGCCTGCGGCAGGCACCTGCGAGTACATTCAGAAGGGAGATAGTTTGTCGTCCGTCCGAAGACCAAGGAATGTTTACACAGCAGCAGCAGTGAGTGGTCGAGTGCGTGGTGCCGTGGACCAGTGGTGCGTCGAGTACAATGGCGGGAACGGTGTGAAGAGAATTAAGCGTGATGGATCCGCTTAGAGCGGCATGAATGTAGCTCGGTGCATTGCCGCTTGGGTGTGTTTGGTCCAAGATGATTTTTCCCGTATGATTACGGAGGACCGTTGACTAGACTACAGCAGCAGCAGCAGCGTACGTACTTCGAAGAGCACGACATTCTTTTAGAAGTCAAGAGACCGAACCCACAGCTCCTCTGCATTGGTCATGCTACACGCGATGATGGTTACAGCAAACGCAGCACCGCTGTGCTGGACCTCACGAATACTGATGATAGGTGAAATACAGAGCTTCGTCCAAGCAATGCCCCCCCACACCCCACACACACTTGTTTGGAACGGAACAGAGAAAGTTAAAGTTCCAAGCTCACCCCAAATGGATTGTCCCGAACAGGCAGTGGGGGCAAACCGGCAAACCAAACGCAACCGGGTGCGAACGAGGGGAACTGTTCCAACAGAGTAGTGTTGCAACGCCAGATTCTAAAAAATTAGTATGTCTACGTTGTCAGGCCGTCTAGACTACTCCGTCACGTATGCATACAGCAGCAGCAGTAGTGCGGAAGTGTAACGCTGCAAGACTCGCGAAGGATGTTCGTCATGGTAAAGCACGATTTACCCCGTGGTCGAAGTAGTCTATGAACACACAGACGATGCCAAGGGCTGTAATTTGTTCGGAATTTGCTGCAATATGTTCGTTCGTCGGGTTTCCGCCTTTTGGGGGGGGCAACAATACACAACGAACAAGATCCACACTCCCGCCCCCCATGCTGACTGTCTGTGCAGAAAGCTCTCCCCTTGGACCCGGGCCAAAACCAAGACAAGAGCAGGTAGACACAAGTCTTTCAGTTGTAGCGGATTCTCCATGAGCGTACATCGTCAACACCGATACGTGTGGTCTGGCGTCAATGTCCCGCACCTCTATACAAGTACCGGTTCCTGGATCCAGGGGTGCGCTCTATGGAACGGTCCTCGGATGATTATCTTGCTAAATTTTACCTAGACAAGGGCTGGTGTGCCGCGGCACCAGGAGGCAGAGCAGTCAGCCATAAGGCGGCCAAAAAAAGTCTTCGGTATGCACATGCAATCTAGGCTACAGATGTATCATCCAAAGGGGGCTCTGTCTATTCTATTACTTTACAGTCTAAACGTCCTGCGAGACGGGAAGGAGTAGACGCCCCCATCTAGATGGTGGCCTAATACCTGGTATTACTCGGCTACGAGGACCTGTTTGCATACCGTACGCAGGGCATATGGGTGAATATGTTAATATCCCTTCGTCTGCATGGGTGTTGGGCGGCCTCAAGTGTGTGAGTAAAATGTGAAATGAATCACGTAAGTGGGAAGGTTGTGCCTCGCTTAGCTCACAACTTGCTGTTCTGGTGGGACTTCCTTGAGGTAGCTCGCTGTTGTGTTTGCCCGCATCACGCCCCAGCTTAACCCATCCACGCCCATCTTTATTTGCTACATTTCCTTGCAGACCGGCAAAACAGCTACGGTCTCGTCAACTATGCATAATCAACAGCTGGATCTACTCACAAAATTTCTTCCTTCCTCTCGCTACTCTATAAAGTGTGAGCCTTCCGGCGGCGGCGCACAAACAACAATACCCAGCGTACACAAACAGCACACCAAAAAACGACGAGAAACGAATGGCCACAGCAAACTGATGCACAACATGCGATCGACATAACGACCTCACACCAGGGGTGTGTCTAACCGGGCACAACCAATTCTTTCGGGGCAGATAAGCGGACACCAGCAGCGGTGTGCCGAAACGGCCAAAACTCAAGGCTGGCCAAGATAAACACGGCGAAGTCGGTCAGCAGGAAAACAAAAATAAGGACGGTCATCCGGCCGGGGTAGCTAATCGCCGCACACAACCATCAAACGCGAAAAGACACAAATATCATACCATTCCTTCCTCAAATCAGCAGAACTTTCAAGCACAGCACCCAACCCAATAGATAGACCGAAGCACCGCGTTGCCGCCATCAAGGCATGCAAACCTCCGTGCTCTCTCTTCTACAAGGACATGCCACTTCTCACACCTCGTGAATCGTGCGGGTCGGCACGAGCGTTCGTTCATCATCAATCTTTTCGTTTGCTCACCCGTGCGCTATGCTACACGCGTCGCGACTAATGCCCATCCGACGCAGCAAGTTGCCATCACGACATCCGAAAGCATACTGCTGCACCGGCATCCGTCCACCCGCCCTCGTGCACACCCAAAGCATGACACCCAACATACATGACAAATCTCAGGGCCAAAAAAACATCAGCGCGAACACGCCAGAATTTATTATATGACGTCGCTCGCTGTGGGTTAGTCCGACGACACCATAGAAGTTGATTTTTCAAGCGCTATCCAAGTGAAGCACGCAGACTACTGCTCTGCGGTTGAACAGTGTGGCGCAAAATCGCTCGCGACATCAGCAAAGTAACCCGTGCGTCATATAGCCATGCATACCGACTGGTTATCGATTAAAATATTTCAACGACTGTGATCGCCACACTTATATCCGTCGGCGGTCGAACTGCGGTGGGCCACCATCGTCTTGGGACAAACAACACAGACAGACAGACAGACAGACAGGCAGACAGACAGACAGACAGACAGACAGAGAGAGGCACATGAAAGCTGCTCGGGAAGTGACCCTCTCAAAAACCAGCAAGTGGTTCACTACAATATACAACTACTCGAACCACCTGTTCACCTACAACGCAAGGTGACTGCGATCCGGTGTCACGTCCATGCCTTCAATATCCATCGTGCAGAGAGGATTCAGCAATGCTCTTCGCTTTGTCAACGACTAAGCGCATGATGCCTACTGAATAACGATGAACGCGCCAATAAACGGTACAGCGAGCCGGGGTTTGAATCCAGTCCCGACCGGCCAAATGACACCGGGTGTAAGCATGAGTCTTTGCTCACCCGCACATTCAAACCTGTGACTAGAATGGGACGTGTTGGCTACACCACAATCGCCGTGGTCGCAGAACCAACCCCAATCCCATCGAGTGCGCTTTCATCTGTTCCCGTGAAAAAAAACTGGCGGTGGTATTAGCAACAATAATTGTGAACACGGTTACATCGCAAATTCACGAAACTAAAGCTGTCGCATCTACAAAACCTTCATCGAGGGCGGGGGCGGTCAGGTCCTTCCTGTAAGTCTTGCCACCAACGGTACTTGGACAACAAAAAAACTCCTCGTCGTTTGCACGGCCAGCTCAACACAGAGGCATGTGCATACAACCTTCAAAGACAGCAAGAGACAGCCCGTACTCCCCACTACCTACACCCGCCCTGCCAGGCGTCCCCCTCAATCGGCCGGTTGCCTCTACGACAAATTCTTCAAGTACCCCGGGGGATCGAAGATCGTACAAAGCCGTGTTTTCCCCCCCTCGGCCGTCTATGCCGGCGGTGCTATTCGCCCTGTGACAATACGTAAGTATGTACAGACACACTAAACATCGGGCTACGCTTGCTCATCACTGCCCCCACCCACCGACCCTTTCGTTCTCCTCCTCACATGATTATATCCTCAGGCGGTGGTAGTCGCCGAAGCCCGCTCTTCGAACCTCGACGCCGACACGGAGAGCGGGTCTGGGACGTCCACCGCAGCTACCGCAGCCGGGTGCACGTGCGTTGGGCCTCCCACCGATTGCTCATCCCCGGCAGCCGCCGCCGCCGCCGCGGGTAACGCCTCCGCCCCCCCCGCGGGCGTGGGACTCGTCGCCGTGGGGTTGGCCTCATGGCCGGCCACCGCGGCCGGAGGTAATAACGGTAACAGGGAGGCGACTCCCGGGGCCGTCGAAGTCGGCGCCGCAACCGCCGCCGCCGCCGGAGGCTCTCCTTGCCCTTGCTCCTCCTCCTCCTCCTCCTCCTCCTCCTCCTCCTCCTCCAACGCAACGACCACTTCAGATGACGAGCCGCCGCCCAGTGACGCCGCTCGGGGTCTGTCGGGGTCCCCTCCGTCAGCGGCAACACCGACACCGCCGGAACCACCGCCGGAACCATCGCCTACGAGCCCGCTCATACTCGCAACCACGGGCTCAGAGAGAACCCCACCCGTTTCACCGCCGCTGCCCATCTCAACTCCCCCGCCTGGTGGACCCCCCGAGGGCGCCGTCTGAGCCACCGCAGCCCCCGGTCCCCGCTCGTGATTCCGGAGCCACCGGCGCACGCTTCTGAACGGCGCCGCGGACGAGCCGAGGGGGCCGACCTTGCTCTCCGTAGAGGGCGGCTCGACGGGCTGCTTGCAGAACGGGCACGTCGGGCTTTGCGCCAGCCAGACGTCGACGCAGCCAGCGTGGAAGAAGTGACCGCACGGCAGCACCCTCAGGTCCTGCCCGTCTTCTTCCTCGCATAGGCAGATCGCGCACATCGCCTCCTCTTCCACCCCCTCCCCTGCCACCGCCGGTTCGGTCCCCTTCCCGGGGCCACTGACACCCCACCCCTTCTCCACATCCATGTCGCCCCCGCCGCCGACCAGTTTCGACCCGAACCGCCTGTGTTTCGGGAGCACGTTGGTCTGCTCAAGGCTCCGAATCTGTGCGGGGGTGAGACCCGCTGGCCCCGCCGATGTGGCCGCCCCAAGACCCGTCAATGTTAGCCCTGCGCCCGTTTGATCGCCCCGGCCACCCCTCCTGTAGTGCGGCACAAGAAGAATAGACAGCAAGTCGGGAGCGGTAAGCTAGGGCAGACGGGCGCAAAACACGGCATAAAACAAAGACCGACAAGTGCCTACGGCACGAAAGGCCGTCGGAGCAGTGCACGGGCGTCAGAGAGGGCATCGAAACGACCGATATTCGTAGTGCCTTTGGCACATACGAGTCGTCAGCACTTCGCTGTGTGGTTCACGGAGTCGAACAAGCAGCGACCGGCGAGTGCGCATCAGTTTTCATCCTTGGCGCTGTGAGCAATCCGTCGTTTCCAACAAAAGACGCAGAATTTTCGCACATGTCTCTTGACTCCGACCACCTCTCTAATGGAGAATAACTCTCCTTAGGACCAAAGAGCACGTTGGTGCAGCACGTCGCAACCATTCGAAAGTCAACGAGTCTCACCCGGCGTACTTTACATCCCTGAATCCGCGAGAAGGACTAACGGCGTGCATGCAAGAAGCTGGGATTCGACTTGCAACATTTGCCAATCGCTTCGAACCCAGCGTGCGTATCGGAATAACCCATTGGAAGTTTTAAGAGTACAATAACCGGATCGCTTGCGACAGGTGCAAACCAAGACATAAAGAGAAGGAAAAAAAAGCACTAGGTCATCGTGCCATGGACAAATTTGACATCTATCGTATTGTACGATCGTGTGTGTATGCAGCCGTTACCACACACCTATCGGACAAGTGGGCGCCACTCAGGGCGCTCTCACGCGCACGGTGCACGCATACCAGCCTAGCGAAGGTGACCCCGCACCAGACGAAGCCCAGCAGAACCAGGGTCGAGTTGAACAGGAAGGATGAGCTGATCTGCTGCACCGGTTGTTCCGAAAGGAAAGAAAAAGAAAAACGTCGTGGAGGATCGTTGGGGGCGAAGGGCTGATCGGTGGGGAAACGAAGGTGACATTCCATGGCTGGGAAATATTTTTTGGATGTCCACATGCCCTCCTCGATGCTCTTCTCTCGGGTTCTCTACGTTGTTCTCTCTCTGTCTCCTTGGACGGAACAGTCTCGTGTGAATGGTAACGCTTGCCAGTTCGCTCTCTCTCGTTCCGCTGGGACACGGATACACAAAAGGGGCTCTCGGATGGTAAAAATCGACCGGAAACATCATATTCCTGGAAAATTCCCTTGAGTGACACCGGTCATGTCTCCCTCGCTCCCAACAAAAAATCATGAAACCACTGGAAGACAACCATTCGAGGTATAGCCACGCAGTATCCTCGTTTTTGTGTGTACAGAGAAGAGGAGGATGCGGGGTTGCTCTATTGTTGCTGCGTTGGGCTAATCGTTTGACGATCGGTCGGGCGTTTGGTACGATCCGAGACGGTGCTTGGTCGGGCACCTGGTCGACTGTCCTCTTGTAGGCCATCACCACCATCCTCTCGGCGGTGGTGTTTGTAGCGCTGAACCTCACTGTTGCCGTGGCTGGAACCCGTCACAGTCACAACAGTTGAGGTCATGGGAGCACCACACGCCCAGCACAATCAACAGCATCAGCAGCATCAGCAGCAGCGGCAGCAGAAACACGGAACGAAAGGGGGAGGAGAAAATGGTCAAGACCAGCCGTGGGAGGGCTACAAAAGGGCAGGACACGTGAAAACGTGACAACTACTTCTTCACGCAGCATCAGCAGCACAAAAGATTGCGGTCAAACACCATGAAATACACAACAGGACGATCGGTGTCTGGTAATTTCACGACACGAGCACAAGAACAAGGCTTTTCACGGCGGTATTTGTGTCAAAAAAATTGCTCAAGAGCATTCCACCTCGTGGAGCTTATTAGCCTAGAGCACACATGCGGATTGTTCCATGCTCGGAACAAAAGACAGGTTCGGTGGACGGACACAGCAACCACAACATCGCACACAGCAGGGCGCCCAAAAAGCCTACGAACGTAGGGTGCGTGTGTGTGCTGATGAGAAAAAGGAACCATCAGTAGCACCCTCAAAAGGCCAGATGATGTTGCTTTGTATTGAGAAGGATTTTTATGCCACCCTGCCACGGCGGTCTAATCGCCACAATGCCTCGTACCACAGGTCTCACTTGCAAAACTGTCTTTTATGTCCCCTTACGAAACCGTGCAACGCGGGGCTTGACGCAGCAAAGGAGGGACAAGAGCTACGTGCCATGGAGTGGTTCCCTGAGACAAACCAATAATCAAGGACAAGGCCAGCTAAAGCAAGCCGGGAACATGCGACTTGCGTGAAATGAAGTCCGATCAACACCTATATCTGCAGGAAATTCTATACTCTGGATCAGTTTCAGTTTCGTGTTCTCCAGTGGAAACTACACATGGAACGTGATCGGATGAAAAACGAAAATGCACGAGACGATAGCGCACATGAGTAGAAGAGTTCCCTGGCTTCTCCGTCCGCCCCGACTTCGATGACGTCGCCATCTAAAACCAGCCCCCTGCCTTCTTCGTATTCAACGTCTGTGTCCCCGTCGTCTTCGACAGTCAGCTCGTCTCCGGCTGCGAAATCAGCTTGCCTACAGAGTGACCAAAGGGATGAAAACAGCGAGCGAGAGAGAAAGTAGCACATGATTAGGACAGGACAGGACAGGATAGGACAGGACAGGACAGGACAGGACAAGACAGAGTCAGGAACCCAACGATGAATAGGACATAAGGAGTCACCCAAACATAGATCCATGTACGTCCCAGGAGATGGCGGCAACATACTGCTGTACCTCGTTCCTTCCTTCTGATCCGGATAATGTCGCATCGGGGTTGTAGTGGGTACGGGGTTCGGCTTCGGCAGCGACAGGTGTCGCGAGAAAAAGCGGCCCTACTTACAGCAGCCACGGCCACCACTGATAACCACGAATTGCGCGGCAACGGCCCGTTTTTTTTCCTTCTTGCGAGAGCCGCATCAAACGTAAGAGCCAGTCAGTCCCTCGCCCGCTTTCATGTTGACCGGGCATCGAGCGCCACAACTCGACCACCAAAAAAAAGGGACCATGACGCGTCGGAAGGCCGCGATAGACAATACTTCCTCATCGCGACGTTACAAGAGGGGAACGACGAGGAGGGGAATGAATGCTGCCACCGAGTTTGAACGTCTCAGCTACACCCCCAACAGGTCACCCCAGAGGAACTCCTCCGACGACTTCGAACGCCCTTCCTCGACCTTCGTGAGGCCAAACCCGCACAAGTCCGTTCATGTCAACCAATTCGATTAATCTCGGATGCGAGCGCGGCGGTGGTGAGCATTCGTCGTTCTTTTTGTTTTCCCCCCGCAGCGAGGGCTTCGCGTGTGACAGGTGTTGAGTCATGAAAAGAGAAACACTGCTTTCCCAACTGCGTTCGTCTCCCGTCTCTCTGACTACGGCGTACAACAGCAGTTGATCATCGGCTCTCACAAAGACCAAAAACAATAAAACAATAACTTTAAAGACTTCAACGCACCACCTTCGACTTACATCTAGAACGGGTAGTCCTCCTGTGTTGAATCAAGGGTTCCCTTTATAACGTTTTTTTCGGTGGTAATAATACTTGGCAGTAATTGTTTTGGCGACAAGCGGTGATGCGTTTTTCGGCGGTAATGACTTTGGCGGAGGCGGTAAAACCAATTTCTGGCGGCAAAGTAATATTTTTTTTTGGCGGTAGCGACTTTGGCGGAGACGGTAGAACAGAATTTTGGCGGTAATTTTTCGGCGGTAACGCCATACGGCGGTTAAAGTCTTGGAGGTAGGCGGTACCGCATTTTTTGGCGGTAACGAGTTTGGCGGAGACCGTAAAACCAAAAAAATGGCGGTACAACGGGGATTACCGGGATCGCCCACCACGGCGGTAATGATTGCCATTGCCTGTGGCCACAACTTCGAGCGACACCAAACAAGGCGGCAACTACGGTGCTAAGTTACCGCGCCCAAACCGACGGCAAACGACTTTGCCGAAGATTGACAATGTACTCCATGGTTGGTTTTGTCTTTGTAGCTAGTGGCCTTCACGTTTTAGAGTAAACTCCACGGAAAAACATTTGAGCGCCTCCTCGTCTCGCCGTCCACTCAACACATTCAATGGTTCTCCCGAAAACGACACCCGAACCAAAGAACAGATACTTCGTGAAAAAGACATGGCCGGAAAAGTACATCCACACATGGACTTGGACTCCTAGTTCACACTATGATTGTACAGCAGTCCAAGCTAGACCCCTACTCACTCAGCCAAACGTTCAGCGGTAACGTACCTTTAAGGCGGTCATTTTTCGGCGGAAATGCCGTATGGCGGCATTTTTTCGGCGGTATCGACGCATGGCGGTCATTGTTTGGGCTGTAGGCGGTAATGCGTTTTGGCGGTAACGACTTGAGCGGAGGCGGTAAAACAGAACTTTGGCGGTAGGCGGCAACGCGTTTTTTGACGGTAACGCTTTTGGCGGAGGCGGTAAAATGAAAAAACGGCGGAAAACGGCGGGTTAACTGAACCGCCCACCACGGCGGTAGTTGAACAGCCGAAAAACTACCGAGTATACCCTTGAAAAAAAACAAACAACCCTTCGCTTCGTGCGCGAATGCACGCATTCCTTAGAAGGTGCTGCTGCCGAAAGCACGTCGAACGTAGCGCAAACTCACCTGAAGGAGATAGTGAGCGTTGAGCCGTCCACGTTAGGGATGTCCCAACAAATTTCGTCGCCCTCTCCCGCAGAATCCGCGTCGATGTTGAGGGTGTCTTCTTCCGCAGACTGGCCACACAACACCGAGAACAAAACAGCGCCAAGGTGTTGGGACGCTGCTGCTGCGGCAGCAAGTTGATAGCAATGACGGAGAACTGGCCACACAAGACCCAAACAGGGGCAACGAAGGCTCTCGTCTGCTACTATGTCAAATGAAACCCCTTGGGCTTTACGCTCAAAGTCTTTTCCTTCCCCGAGTCGGAACTCTTAACGAAGCAGCATTGCCGGTCCATGAAAATTATGAAAACAAGTGTGCCTCAAAACACCGTTCGGTTCTCCGCATGAAAAATAAGGCTGCTTGCTGCTGTGCGATTTGTTGATAGCTGGTGGTGTTTCGGACGGCCCCGTTACGAGCGCTACTGTACTCTGCTGATTTAGTGCGGACATATTGGTACACAGTATCATAGATGACACAAGATATCAAACCCCCTGGGCTGATTTTCGAAGTTACGCCGCAGCAGAAAGGCGGGTGGTGCCGATAACGGTGGCATTGGAACCGTCTCATGGAGATATTTCCGTTTGCACATGGTTTGGATTGTGAATCCTCTTCGATCGTGGTGTACAGTAGTCGAGCTCTGAAAATCGGTCCAGGGGGTGTGATCGTGTGTCACCTATCTTAGTTGTGTTGCAGCCGAATAGAACGGTGTTGCCTATTCCAAGCCCAGACAGCAATGATGCCAACCCGGGGCCATTACCGGCCATGTAGTATTTGCCAGAAACAGCACAGGTAGGCAAAACTGGCTCTTCGTTTTCTGAACCGGCTTTCGCCCAACCGTTGCTGAATCTTTCTCCCAAACCACAACAGCACGCGCCACGATTGGAGCGTCATGACTCTCTTCCAAACAGCCGTACCAGGCGCGACAAGAGCGCGAAAAGCACGCAGTACTGCAAGCGAGTGGAGCAAATCCAATCCATTGTAGCACAAATGAAGCCGAAACCTATCACTAGAAAAAGGCTATGGATACAATCCATTTGTCTAGAGCCGCCTTCTAAGTACGTGAGTGGTCCATTGGATGGAGCGTAACAAAACGGCGAAGAGAGGTTTTGCTATATATGTTCAAGCGCACAACGTACGGCGGTAACTCTACTGCTGTTGGTGAAAAACTAGGACTTCAGCCCGACCCAGGGACGCCCGAACCCACGTGGCACGGAGAATTGAACTCATGGTGTCCCTTTGTCCAGGACAGCAACTCACGGGTCTGACGGTATTCTCTAGCCATATAATAGTTTTCTCGCGGTGTCAGCAGCTCTATTTGGAAGGCCGGTACACATCATCGCGGGACCTACATAGGACCCCATCCCTCCGCATCCAGCCGCCGAATGGTAATATTTACCTGTGACGAAGCACTATTTCGTGCAAGTCTCCACGAACTATTAATAATACAGGACGCCGCGGATAAATTTCCGATAAGCTACAGCCGTCAACATGCTAAGCCGAAGGACTGCGGCCAGCTCTCGAAAAAAGGGGCATGGAGCAGGGCTGCAACGGTGTCGTCTCTGCATACCATAACCCCCCTTTTGTTGGGTGTCAGCCTCGACGTTGGCCGACTTCAAGGTTACCCAAAAAACAAGAAAAAGCAACCCGTCTAGACTGCTGTGCACCACCCTAATCCCACGACGTACGGCTGCACATTACACTCGGACAGACAGGTGGCCCCCGGTGTGTTTGAGTTGTTGGGAAAATTTGCGTTCTTTTCCCAGTAGGTGCTGTGATTCCTCCCCTGCTGTGCTTTTACACATGAGTGGATGCCACCCGTGAACGTGGGCGCCTTCTACTTCCACTAGTCTGCACGTCCTGTCCTGACGGGCAGGCCCTGCATGCCAAGGGGCTTGTTGGAGCTAAGAAAATACGGACATAAAACAGGTGCACTATTGAGACGGTTGCTCCAGCTTCACGTGTGAGCAAGTTCCCTTGGGATGTGTGGTCTGGATACACACCGGTTCAACCTCGGGTGGAGAGGCTGACGAGTACGGATAGTTGTGTTGTGTGTCAGGTGGGGAGCAACCCTAACCTTGTGTTGAAGCAAGCTTCAGCATCCAACCTACACTGCGTCGATCATGGCAACACCCCGAAGGTAGATCTCCGACAGGTCATCCGACGTCATAATCCACGACATCCAAGCATTTTAGAAAAAAAAATACAATTAACCCATACAGAAAGACTACTGCACCCGTTCGATATGAACGACCGCCGTGTTGTTATTGCTGTTTCGGTGTTTCGGCATATTCCCGGCTAAAATGGGATGCTCATGACGACGCCATGCTGTGCAACACACACATGGCCAGCAAATCGAGGAGGAGATAGAAAGACAGGCGCTGAACATGCACGAGTACACCTCATTCAACCAAGGGTTCGTTGACTCAGGTTTCATGGGCGGAATACATGGTTGAAGTAGCGAATCAGCAGAAAAGCAGGTTCCATCGAAAACATCGACCGGTGCCAGCATGCTGCAAGCTGTGTGCGGCCGCTGTCTGCTTGTGTGAGAGGTATGTACTGCAGCTGCTTTAGTCGCGCGACATCCGTTGGTGATCGCCCAATCTTCCAGTGAGCTGTGGAGCGAGCGATTGGCGCACACACATGATATGAATGCGCACCTACTCTCGGAACTCGCACAAAACGACGGCCGAAACCCCGGGCAAACACAACCCGACCCTGCTGGAGTCCAGGGGCGCCAGAACACCCTATCAACACAGAACCACTATCAACTATCAATTGTGGGAGCCGCAGGGCAACCACGCAAGGCAGCAACGACTCAAGCTCGCTCCAACACCGCACCGCGGCTCACCGGATCCAAAGTCTCACAGGTCAACCATGACTCTGACCCAGGCCTTCCCCCGCGGCCCGAGAGCCGCCGCCGGAGTCGATGGGGGTCAGTCCTGAGAAAGGCATAATCAAACCGTTCTCGGTCTTCGGGAATCTCGCCACCTTCTGTTCCTCGTTCTGCTGCTGCTGCTGCTGCCGCTTCTGCAGTACCCCCCCCCCCCCCCCCCCCCCCCCCCCCCCCCCCCCCCC